GGTGGGGCCTGACCCGCACCCTCCGCACCCCGACCGCGGTCCCGCCAGCTGCTGCCGGGAGGGGGCGCCCTGGCCACTCCCGCCGCCCATGGTCTGGCCTCGCGGGGCCTCAGGATGGAGCAAATGCGGATGCCCTGAACCCCCAAGCAACCTGAGAGCGCCCCAGCCCTGAGTCGCCCCCCGAAGTCCCCCGCGCTGAGGCGGGAGAGCCACTGACCACACTGTGGCCAGGAGACAGCATCTCCGGCCCTAAAGAGGACCTGACCCCAGGGCCACAGCTGCTGGAGAAGCACCAGAGCCCAGAGGGCTGCGCTGGCAGGTCCTCCGGGAAGACGGGGCGGACAGCAAGGCCAGGCCCAGCTCTGGAAACGTCCATTCTGGGGTTGGCAGAGGCCCCGAGACAGACACCACTGCCCAGCAGAGGCGCTTCTGTTGCATACCTACTACGTGCCAGTGTCCAGATGAACTGGACCCAGGCCCTGACCGAAGCCACAGCTGAGTGGGAAGGCTGAGCTGTGGCCGGGCAGGCAGAGGGCTCACGGGGGAGAGGTCAGCAAAGGCAAGGTGTGGCCCGCTGCTGGGAGCGGGGAGGGCTGGGAGAGGGCAGCCTGAGGGGACGGGGTCCTGAGCTTCCCAGGAGGCGGTAGATGCCCGGACTCTGGGTGTGTGTAGAGCCCGGTGGGCAGCTCTGTGTCCAGCTTGAGGAGACCAAGCAGGCCCCGAGACAACCAGCCTGGAACCCAGGAAAGTGCTGAGGAGTCTGAGTGGCAAGAAGTGTGGGTGGCCCCCAGGAGGGCACTACGTGACCTGGGGCAGGCTGGGAACCCCCATGGGGCTGAGAGTACCTGTCAGGCAAGAAGCAGGCTGATGGGCTGTAGGCCTCCACACCAAGGTTCCTTTGCTTCCCGTTGGCAGGAACGTACCCCAGGGCCTTTGCACCTCCAGGCCCTTCCAGCCCCTCCTGCCCCTGCTCTACCAGCCGATCCTGCCATCCTTTGCCTCCCAGAGTTGTGACTCAGGGCCTCAGCTGCACTGCAGATGTTTATTCATGAGAGTTTTCATATCCACACACCGAGGCCACGTCAGCGCCAAGGAAACAGGCAACCAGAGGCCTCTAGCAAGGTTCAGGCAGTTTAATGAGTTTTAGTTATTAGATAAAAGTGTCAACACCGTGACTGCAAAAACAACATAGCTCCAGTCCTTGCTTCACCCCGTCTTGGCCGCTGGGCTCCAGTGTGCAGGCCACTCATTCCTTGAACTTCCATTCTTGGCGACACATGGGGCAGTGCTGCTGCACCTGCTGCGCATTCAGCCACTTGAGGATGCAGTGCATGTGGAAGCAGTGGGAGCATTGGCCCCAGACCAGCGGACAATCGTCACCTGGCACCTTACCTGCACGGGACAAGATAGGGTGTGGGTCACGCAGAGCATGCAATAGCCAGGTGGGACCAAGACGGGGAACCCAGGACGTTAGACAGGGTGGCCAGGGCCTCTCAGAGAAGACAGGTTTCAGGAGAGTCATGATTGATTCTGCAGCAAGGCCACCCCCGTGTGAAGGTCTGCATGACCCCTGCTGAGTGAGAACAGCTGGGGGGGGGGCGCGGGGGGAGACACGACTCAGTGGCAGGAAGAGCTCTGGCCTGGCCCACAGCCCCAACTGCTGCCTTCCAGGACCTGGGCTTCAGCAGACACATTGCAGCTTGGCCATATGACCTGCAATGCCACGGTTGTGCCATGACTGTCACACGGCTCAGCAACAGCTATGCCTCTTGACCAAGAGCAAGAGGCTGGGCCTTGGGACCTGGAAGGTTCCTTCCTGAGGCAGCAGGGACCTGGTGCAATACATGGGAGTGGGTTGGGGACACTAGGGTTTAAGACCTGGCCTGTCGCAGGCTGGGAGTGACCATGGTGCCACCTTCCATCTCTTCTCCATTTCTGGCCTGAAAAGGTCCCACTTCCAAGGCCCAGAGCACATGCTGCTGGTACTCCACCCCACACACCTGGAAATGCTACCTACCTAGAGAGGGCACAATGACCTCCCCCAAGTCCCAGACGAGGGTCCCACAGTCATGAAGGAGTCCAAGCTCACCGCCCCCACCCTGTTCTCCCAGGGGTGCCTTACCCCCCACATCCCTGCCTTGAGATCCTCTACACCTATGGAGCACTAGCTGTATCCAGATGTGATGGTACACAAACAGGAGGGACCACACGGACAAGCCAGGGCCAGGTGAACGGGACATCTTGTCCAGGGAGCAGCTCCGTTTGCAGCATGTGCCCTAACTGCAGAGAACAAAAACTGCCTTTGGACCTCTGTGCCCACAGGGCCAGGCCTGGTTGCCTGTGGTCCTGGTCCTTCCTCTTTTTTTTTAAGTGATTTCATGGAGAGGAAGAATAGAGGGAGAAATAGAAACATCGATGACAGAGAAATATCGATTGACTGCCTCCTGCGTGCCCCCCATAAGAAATTGAGCCCGTTAATCGAACCAGCAACCTCCTGGTGCATGGGGCAATGCTCAGCCAACTGTGTCACACCGGCTGGGCCGGGTCCTTACTCGACACCAAACATGGGGAGGTATCATCCTGCAATATGTTAAAGAAATAACACACTGGCCAAGCAACACAAAAATGTCGCTGTCCTGACACAACCACCAGAAAGCTATATACTTAGCAAATGCTGGGCTCTGCAGGCCGCTGGGACCACCTTTAACACAGGTTGCCCCACCCACGTCACCTAAGGGGACCACCACAAAAATGCTTTTGAAGACTTATTTTCAGAAGGTAATAAGCTATTGCTTAGAAAGTTACAAGTTCTTGCCCCCTCAGGCTCCCTTGCCTCTGTGGCACCCTTGGGAAACAAAACTAAGCCCTGGCCGATTTTCTCAGTGGTTAGGGAATCAGCCCTAAGGATCTCGGGCTCCATTCCGGTCAAGGGCATGCACCTGGGTTTCTGTGGCCAAGTGTGGGAGGCGACCAGCTGATGTTTCTCTCTCACTCTCTCCCCCTTCCGCTCTAAAAGTCAATAGGAAAAAATATCCTCAGGTGAGAATTAAAAAACAAAAAGTATAAAATAAGATAGATTAAGTAAAACCTGATAAAGTAGAGCCAATCGATGACTCTCTAAGGCTACGGCCCCACCCGTTTGACTCAGCAAGGATTAATTCCTGGGTGATGAGATTTCATTTCAACCAAAGCAGATAGAAAGATTAAGCCTAGACTAGAATAGCACTTGCACTAAAACTCAATGACTGTCCGAGTTCCACAGTAAGAAGCAAAGCCCTGTTACCTGGGCACTCGCCTAGCCCCAGGAAAACGGCTGGTCACTGGGGCAGTGAGGAGCTCCTCAGTAGCTCCCAGGCCCTGCTTTCCTCCTAGGACTCCCTCGGTCCCCTAGGCAGAGTCCTGACCCTTGGTTCTGATCTAGGTTCACGTGGTCTGACTAAAACCTCAACTCACGGGTGCAAAAACCTGCTTTTTACCTAAACAGACAAGAAAACATTTCTACTTTGCAAAACGGAACAGACTGGGGACAAAGGGACCACAGGGAAGAAACCCAGGAAAGCCCGACGGTAGGCACTGCGCAGGGTGACGGGCACATCAGCTTCCTAAAGGGGACGGGTGTTCAAGATTAAACAGCCAAGGGGCAGAGCGACGACGGCGGAGTCGCGGCTCAGCCCGCCCGGGGAGGGACAAGACTTTGGGGACAAGCGGAGACACGTGCACAGGGACTAGGCGCGGGCAGTGGCCCTGAGGGATGCCGCCCGATGTGGCTGCAGGGACGGGAAAAAAGTCGGGGTGAGCCAGAGACGGGGCGGAGGGAGGGACGAGGCCGCCTGTTGGTCACCGACTTCAAGACGCCCCCGCGAACCCGGGGAGCAGACGCTCCCCGGTCACGCCGCGCGCGGGCCGGGCGGCCTCACGAGGGGCCCGCTTGGTTCGAGAATTTCCAACCGGGTTCGAGCCCGTCCCCGCCCCGTGAGCTCCCCGCGCGGCCGGGCCCCTCGCAGAGCTCCCCACGGCGCCCCGAGGA